CCAAACCGGAATCCCCGAGTGCCGAATTCCCGGCATCCCCGATGCCGAACCGGGATTCCCGCCCGGCATTCCGGGCTCTCACCGGGTGATGTTGCTGACGAACTTCTTGTCGTCCACCACGACGCTGAGCTGGCAGGCGCGGGGGGCGAAGACGTGCAGGGGCTCGGGGAACATGGGCAGCTTCTCGCCCGGCGCCGCCGCCAGCACGATGGCGCGGCGCCGCGTCTGCGCCACGCCGTACTGCCCGGCCTGCGGGCACAGCCCCGCTGGCACCACACCGAGCCGGGCACGGGCCCGCCCCGCCCCGGGGACACAGCCCACCCCGGGGACACAGCCCACCCAAGGGACACAGCCCACCCCGGGGACACAGCCCGCCCTGGGGACACAGCCCACCCAAGGGACACAGCCCACCCAAGGGACACACCCTGCCCCGGGGACACAGCCCGCCCCGGGGACACAGCCCACCCTGGGGACATAGCCCACCCTGGGGACACAGCCCGCCCCGGGGACACAGCCCACCCAAGGGACCCACCCTGCCCTGGGGACACAGCCCACCCAAGGGACCCACCCTGCCCTGGGGACACAGCCCACCCAAGGGACACACCCCGCCCCGGGGACACAGCCCGCCCCGGGGACACAGCCCACCCAAGGGACCCACCCTGCCCCGGGGACACAGCCCACCCAAGGGACACACCCTGCCCCGGGGACACAGCCCACCCAAGGGACACACCCCGCCCCGGAGACACAGCCCGCCCCAGGGACACAGCCCGCCCCGGGGACACAGCCCACCCAAGGGATGGGGTGGGAATGGTTCCAGAGCCACCCCGGGGACACAGCCCACCCTGGGGACACAGCCCACCCAAGGGACACAGCCCACCCTGGGGACACAGCCCACCCCGGGGGACCCACCCCGCCCCGGGGACACAGCCCACCCAAGGGACGGGGTGGGGATGGTCCCAGGGCCACCCCAGGGGACACAACCCCACCCCAGGGGACACAGCCCACCCAAGGGACAGGGTGGGAATGGCCCCAGGGCCACCCCAGGGGACACAACCCCACCCCAGGGGACACAACCCCACCCAAGGGATGGGGTGGGAATGGTTCCAGAGCCACCCCGGGGACACAGCCCACCCCAGGGGACCCACCCCACCCCAGGGACTAGGTGGGGATGGTCCGAGAGCCACCCCAGAGGACACACCCCACCCCAGGGGACACAACCCCACCCCAGGGACGGGGTGGGAATGGTCCCAGGGCCACCCCAGGGACAATTCCTGAGGGATGTGGTGGGATTGGAGAACCTGTCCCCTCTGGGAATGTCCCCAAAGCCACCCCAGGGGACAATTCCTGAGGAACAGGGTCGGAATGTCTGCAGGGCCACCCCAGGGGACCCACCCCACCCCAGGGACGGGGTGGGAATGGTCCCAGGGCCACCCCAGGGACAATTCCTGAGGGACAGGGTAGGATTGGAGAACCTGTCCCCTCTGGGAATGTCTGCAGGGCCACCCCAGGGGACAATTCCTGAGGGACGGGGTGGGAATGGTCCCAGAGCCACCCC